TTCTCTCCAGATGCCATTATTTTGCATTTCGGAGAGTCAGGAAAGAGACAAAGAAACTGTCTCGCTTTGCAATTGAATTTCTAATCAGAGATCTGCAAGCAAACCAGGGAAACAGAATATAATAAACCAGAAGAAGCCTCTGTATAACAGCTGACCTGTTTGAAAGGAGAGCTGGAAATAGTGGAGTGACTGGACCCGCCATATGGTTAGATGTCCCATCCCCAAGCCTGGGCCAGAGGCATCTTGGTTTAGGCTTTTCAGTCTTCAGAAGATGACTGCTCTGTGGCCTTTGCATGCAGGGAGCATCCCAAGGTTGGTGAAACCAGCTAATGTTGCTTGATGCTTGTCACGTGCACGGACACGGACCTGACCCAAACATCCCATCTTGCGGGTTGGCCTAGACCCTAAATGTGAGAAGAGCCTTGTCCTTGTTCCTGCCTCCACCGATAAAATAACTTGGCACTTGAAGGGGGGAAAGGAAAACCTGGGTTTGGGTGTGTTGTACCCATTTACACAGATCATTTTGGTTTTCCTGCATTGGTCTCCATCTGTTGAATGATCCCTTGACACGTTCCCATCAGACTGGGAGTCCCAGGCTGGCTCCGCTTCAGTCGTTGGCACTATTTATAACAGGTGGGAATCTTCCCCAGTTTTTTCAAGAGATAGTTTTCTGCAAGATGCACAAGAAGCATTTCAGGCTGTAAACTGTCAGCTTGAATTGAAGTCTCCGTGCGCGCCCTTGGGGTTATCCCACGTTTCAAGCTGAGCATTGCTTGTGAGAAGGCAGTTGTCATCTCTGCACATCTCATGATCACAGCATCCTTGGGGCATAAAACACGGAGGACAAAAGGGCAGCATGGTTATATATATATACACACACGCATATCTTTTTTTTTCTTTTTTTTTTTTTTCACCCTAAATGCTGACTTCTGTAGGCTCACAACCTGACACAAACTCTTGTGCGTGGGGTGTATGCTTGCCTTATTCGGCTCTCTAGACTATTTTGAGATATTTGGTTTCATTTTAACTTTGAATTTGGGTTGGCAGCTGGGAGTAATTGGCTCTGGTTTGTAGCACCTTCTCGTGTATTGGCAGCACAGCTCCTGTGGAGTTGGGAGAATTTTCCTAGTCCAACCCTCAAGTTAAAACCCTCAGCATCGCCCATCCCTTTGATCGCTGCTGCCTAGGGCTGGTGGTTTTTTTGCAAAACCAAATCCCCAGGCAGGCTCATGCCAATCCCCCTTCTCCACACTGCAGGGTCACAGGAAGCAGCGGTGAGGGAATATGTCTTAAGGCGACAGGAACAGTGAGAAGTGGAAGTTCAAGCAGGAAAATATCGTATTCCAGCATGTGCGTGAAGCACGCGGCAGTTTGTAAAGTTGCGTAGTCACAGCGGTTGGGAAGCTGGAGGTGGCTGGAAGAGCTGCTCCTCACTGATGGCACTTGGCAGGATTTGGGGTAAAAATGAAGATGATCATTCTTGTCAATCTGGTTTTGTAGCCATTTTGTTGCTTTTGGATCCGTCTCTTTTCCCATTCATTTAATTTCTGCTGGAGTCATTGATTAAATATGTGTGTTTTTATCTCCAAGAACCATTGTGGCTGGGGTTTTGTTAATGATTGGATCTTCCAACAACCAGTTTGGAAGCTGAATAGTTGAAAAGCTCCAAAAGTCATTTCTGCTTTACTTCCAGAAATTGCTGTGTGCTCAGCAGCATCTCGTGTTCGGCTGCTTTAAAAATGAATGAGCCGTTTCCTTGCCCTGTGCAAATCTGTCATGCATCTCTCCAGCATTTCTATCTTGCAGTGAGTCTGTTTTAGGAGTCAGATTTGTACACCAAAAGTGAGAGACTGGACCAGCAGCAAGGAGCAGTTGATAAAACTGCCCCCAAAATGCCCACAAACTTGTGGGTTTGTTTCCAACAGGCCAAGTTTGCCCATTTCTCATTTTATTTACTTTCTTCTCCCCTTTGAGTGTATGTTCATACATCTGCTGACCAAAGAAGCCACTGGTATGAACAGCCCCAGTGAAAATTATCTATCATAACAGGACTAAAATATTAGATATATCTATGTGCACATCATAAACTTAATGTTTTATGCAAAAGACAGGGGGATGAAAAGAAAAAAAGTTTCCCTGATTAAAACAAAATCCAGAAAGTGGAAGTGAACCATTTCAACACTCCTCTGAGTAAAAAATGTCTGCAAAGTTCTTGTCTCCCTTCAAACTTTGTATGCTGGCAAAACTTTGTTTTTCTGACGGAATCTTACCATGTCCCTTTCTGTGCAGCTCTAGACATTTCCAGGTTGTGAAAAACATTTCAGTATGGTCAGTCTCTTCTTCTCCAGACCTCCACAGGCTTCCCAAATCTATCCAACAGACTCACCTTGGGCCTTTTAGGAAATCACAGTGATTGCTTTTGGCACATAGGGTTGTTAACAGCAACCAAAGTCTGGCTCGGCTCAGAGATCCTTTTCAAGAGCCCTGTTTCGATGAGCTGTGTCGTGGAGTGGCAACAGAAGATCATCGTGCAGAGGGATGCGGGTGCCGGAGATGAGCTGAGACTCTGCAGAAATGCCTGGATCCGAGTTGAAGCGGCAAGTGGCCAGTGGTGCCCCATGGATGTACAGGCTCCTGAAGTTGAAAACAGCATTTTTTGCTGGATTTTTGAATTGAATACACCTCTGGATATTCAGCTGAGAGTGACAGGGAGAATGAAATTAAAGGTGGGAGGAGGAAAGTGCAAGACTGGTTCATTTTCCTGTGGGGTGGGATGCACTGGGAGATCCCTGCTGCCTTGCAGAGAGCAGGAAAGCGCCTGCCAATGTTGTACTTATGGTTTAGGAGGAAAAACTCAGCTCTGTCCCATTTTTGCAGCCTATCCACCCGCCCAGTACGTGGTGGGTTGGACAGGCAGCGAGCAAGGCAGAGGCCAGCCAAACCTCCCTTGAGTTTGGACATGAGCCACGGTGGAGCAGATGAAATAAATCCAAAGCTTTTGCTCTTGGGCTCACCCAAGTATGGTGAGCGAGCAGCACAGCAAGAGGCGGTAAAACAGCATGGAAAAAAGCTGGCACATCACAAGCTGGGGTGATAATGCTGGGTGGATTGAGCACCGGAGCATCCCAGCGAGGGAAAGGGGATGGTGGCACCCTTATGAGCAGCCGGGGAGCCACTTAGGTGAGTGTGTTGGAGTAGAAGCTGAAGCTTTCGGAGACCGTTTTGGAGTCGCTGCGGGAGGAGCTGTTGGATGTTATGTCTACAGAGAGACGCTTGGCCTTGCTGCTCTCCTCCAGCTCCTCTTCGGCCGTGCCAACAGTTGAGGACACGGTGGTCTCTATCCGGCTGACCTTGTACATGCTGCTCTGTGTCTGCAGGTACCTGGTTGACTTCATTTCCAGGCCCTCGTACTCGCCGGCACTGACGAACGGGCACCACCGAAATGCGTGTTTGAACCCCACGCGAAACCTGGGGGCACGGAAGAGATGGGGAAAGGCAGCGGTGAGGGATGTGGAGGTGGCGAAAGGACCTCGCTAGGAAGGGGAAGACAGAGCTAAGCACTGCTAAACAACAACAAAAAAATGCTACTTTTCACTAAGGGGAGGAAAAAAACCACTGATAAATTCCAATTAGGAGTCGGGACTGTTTTGATACCGGCTCTCAAATCCCACAGGGGCTTTAGGAAAGACTTATTTAGGTGAGTATTGTATCGTCCCTGCATCTGCTGGAAGCAGCGCCTGGCAGAGGATGGGACAGAACCATCCTGGAAAAACTCTCCATCCATACTCTCCTCCACCAGACCCCTCTGTATCTCCCCCTCCTCCCCTCCCTGTTGCACCAAGATGCTGCCTAAAGTCACTTGAAACCCACCTGTCGTTGAGGCAGCAGTAGATGATGGGGTTGTACATGGTGGAGCTCATGGCCAGCCACATGATAGCCAGGTAGACCTGCTGGATGAACTTCTGCAGGTACCAATTGGGGTTGAAATACTGTAGGGTGAAGTAGATGTGGTAGGGCAGCCAGCACAGCGCGAACGTGCATACCACGATGATCATCATCTTCACTACCTGTGAGGAAAAGAGAGACCAGGGAAGCAAAGTCATCCATCGGACACCCTGCAGGTGGGGTGTCACCCTCCAGAAGGGGACACCTCTTTTTGTCTTGGAGACCTTTTCCAACCAGGAACACACAGTCGACGTCTTGGTTAAACCATGCACATTCATAGAGGACACGCACCTGGAGGACGCTCTCTGCTCCGTTAGCAACAACTGTGCAACAAGTCCTGACCTGTTTCCACCCCTAATGAAGTATTTTTGGCTATGGTTAGTTGGGATTGGGCATGAATTATGGCTCCAACCATGCTCGGAGCTCCTTACCTTCCGCTTAGCCGAGACCTGCTCGTGGTAGCGGTCAGAGTTGTCGCCGGGTATCTCACTCGCCCAGAGGGTGATGCCGACCACGGTGTAGGCACATCCTATCACCAGGAGTGGCAAGAAGTAGATCAAGATGGTCATGCAGAAGTGATACCTAGAAAAAATGATGGTTGTTGCGTGTGTCCTCTACCTATTCAGTCTTTTTCTTGCAAACTGAGTTTGAAGGCAAAGTGCTTCACACGGGCAAAGAGAATTTGGCACGGGTCCTGCAGACACGTTGCCTGCAGAGCTCAGGCTGGGAAATACTCCCTACTTTCACCCCAATCTTTTCCAAGCCTCTGCTCCCAGCCTTTGGCATCCTAGCACCCTTCTGGGATGGGATGTAGAGGCCACAGGATAACTTGTGTTACCTTCATAAGGCAAGGATGTCTTAGCTGAAGTGGCTCTACTCTCAATTCTACTCTGTTTACACCCCAAATTATCCTAGAGATGAATGCTTGCTCTTAGGACACCTTTCATCTGGCAGTCCTGCAGGAGCAAATGTGGTTTTTTTGACATATAAAGGATGGGAATATTAAGCTGAAGAAATAAAGGCTTTCCCTGCGGGGCAAACACTGGGTCTTGGATGCAGCTTGCCGGAATCCTGGTCCACCTTCAGTTTAGTTGGGCTCAGGTGGCGCAAGGCATAACCCCGGTCCCCAAAAACGCAGCCTAAACACTTGTTGTGGAGGTTTATTAAAATGTTTCTGTGAATTCAGTGGCTGGGTCAGTTCTCCAGGCTTATGGAAAGGGCAGGATCTTTGTGTCTGTTTATAACAAGTATAAATAAGCCCAAAATCAAATGAGAGGGTCTGGATTAAACTGTTAGCACAGGCTTGAGACTGTTTAGTTGTGAAGTCGGTGGAGCCGTGGCAGGTTGCAATAGCCGCTGGGGTTGCAGTGGGTTCAGTGAAGGATTTGTGTTAAATAATAGTTGGTTTAAAAAGGAAAAAATAATTCTGTTTTTAACAAACAGGATGGGGATGGACGCTTTGACCTTGCAGGTTCCTTCCTACCATCAGAGCTTGCAAAAACGTCTTTCCCCTGCAGAAAGATGAGCAATTGCGGTACAGAAACGCAGCTGGCTTGCACAGTGCCGGCTTGCAAAGCGTCATGCGTGCCGCCAGGTCTGGAGGTAATTTTCTTCCGACTGCTTGAGGGTCTTTGCATGCATTTTCAGGGTGCGTGCCCGGCTCGAATGCTGCATCTGTTCAAGGCGGTTCAGGCCCTGTAACCACGCTCTGCTCTTCCACTCGCTCGTCCTCCCGGGAGCTTTGATTGAATAATATCTCCAAAGTGTAACAAATGGGTCAGGCTTGTGCCTGGTGCAACTCCCGCAGGGAATGGGGTTGGCCCCAGCCCCATGCTGCCATGCCATCTCCTCCTTGTTTTGTACCTGCAATTTCATTTGGCCTTCTCTTCGCCCAGCGCTAATCGCATTTGAGCTGGATTTTGTAGGGCTGTTTTCTATTTTGCTAATTAAAGAGGCGTCTCTGTGGCTCCACGATGAAGATTTTGTTGTGGTTCCCATGTAATGCAGGGCTTTAAACCAGCTTCAAACAGCTGAGAGCAATGCAGAAATGCCCCAGAGGAGCTGTTAGATAACATAAGCAAGACTGACCCTTCTTTTCAGAGCTGCCTGGGACAGGGATTTCCGAAGACCCCTTGGGACATTTTTTTGGACCTTGGGTGCTGAAAACTGGTCTCCATGTGAAACCATCTGTACGTTATTCTGCCTACAAGAATTGCAGGATCAGAGCACTTGGAGAAGCTTAGGTTTTGTAATTTAAAGGTCTTTGGTGTGGGGATTTAGGCTCTTGTATAAGATGGAGGAGCCCGTGGGAGTTATGGGACAGTGATGTTGGAGGAGGGGGCTGCCATCTCCTTTAGCCTTGCAAAGCCCAGGTGGTTGCCGTGGGCTGTTATCTCCCAGAGAAGCCAGCGAGTGGAGCGGCTTTTCCCCTTCCCTTAACAAACCAAAATGGCAGCTAATGAAATTTGAATAGATCGGACATCTATTTCGAAACCAAAAGTGCGAGAGGGAATCAGTGGTTAACAGCGACGAGCAGCTGCTGAATCGAACTGAGCTGAATTGCCGGCTCCTCTTGCAGACGCACCTCGCCTGCGCTGAGGTCTTTGTCTGCTTCCCCCCATACGAGCGGGCTGAGAACAGGCACGTTTTCACTGTGAAAAAACCTCATGTGCACATCCTGGTCTCTGATACCCTCTGCATGCCAGGGGTGTGCTTTCTGGGCTCCGTTTGCCCTGAGAAAGGACTCCCCAGTGCTGGGAGAAGTCCCCTACTTTCACTGTGAACTGAAAAAATAACATTATTCTTCATCACGGCATTGCAAACAAGCTGGCTGCTGCCAGCGCCTTCCTTAAATAACTGCACCAAGGCCACGCAGCAGGGGAGGGTGTTTGACAGCGACCCAACCACCTGTCCCTGCAAAGTTATTTTGGGACAGTAAAATAACATCTCGCGCTCTGCGCTGTGCAAGTGAGTTTGTGTGGTTCAGGGAGACGCTGCTGAGCTCCAAGTTATTTTCAGTCCCCACCAGATATTTGGGGTTTGGCTATTTAAAAGTTTCCGCTTAGCATCTGCTTTCCCAGCTTTCCTGGCTGCCCTCATCTGTCTGCAGAGCCCCTGGCTCGCCGAAGAGCACGGGATGCTCAGGCTTTGAAGCGGCGCCCGGCTTCCAGCGGTAAATCATTCATAGGTTAATGGTGACCTTTTTCTCTTGAATTAGCTATTTGAAAAAGCGAGGGCCCCAGCGTGCAGCTGAACAGCAGATGGTCTGTCAAAGCCAGGCCCTGAGCTCACGCCGGTTGCGGCTTTGGTCAGGGTGGGCTCAGCCCCATGCCAGCCATGTGTCTAAGCCAGCACCATTTCTTCGCGTTGGCTGTGTTTATCACAGTGGCCTGGAATAATTAAGGTTGGAAAACACCTCTGGAGATCAGCTGGGCCAGCCCCAGCTTAGTTCTTGCCATACCTGCCTTGCAATGCAAATCAATAAGATGATAACAAATGATACCGTCCAGCGCTCTGCAACCCGCCACTCGCTGCTGACTGGCAAACTCATCTCATTTGTCTTGCAGAGAGACCTTTGCCAGGCTCAGGCTGGCTTTAAACACCTCTCCGTGCATGTGCGTGTGTCCCCTGCTCTGGCTCCAGCACAATTTCACAGCCCTAATTCATTGCTCCACGGGACTGGAGATCGCAACTCCCTTTCCTCCGCGCTCTGTTTTCCTTAACATGTGACATTTAACTTGCCGCGTGACTCGCGGGCTGCAAAGAGCAAACCACGGAGGACCGCTGTGCTGGCAGACCTGGACCCTTTGGAAATGCCAGAATTAATTAGCCAGCGCCTTAACGGGAAGGGAGGAGATTGCTGTTGAGCCCTCCTAGCCCAGCATTTGCCTCCCAGCCTGAGCTGATGCCACAGAGCCCTTTTTTGTAGCTTGTTTTTTTTTTTAAGCTGTCGAGTGAATTTTGGGGCACTTGGACTTGGTAAATCCCAAACCTTTTTTGCTACCGTCAGCTACGTAGCACTGGCCCTTGCTAGGGTAGGGGGAGGATCTCCCCATGCCACGGAGCTCTGAGCTATTCCCATCCTTCCTCGCTTCCTTTTTTTATACTTTTTTTTGGTATTTTTTCTGTATGGTGACTTGTCCCCACTGCCAGAAAAGTTCAACTCACGTTTTTCCGTAGGCACTGGTGCTGTGCTCTGGCCACTCCACCAGACACACCAGCCGGCCTGGCAGCTTTTCCATCACCGAGTAGTAACCCTGGGGGAAAGCCAGCAGGGAAGCCAGGAGCCAGATGACGCCGATGACCACCTTGGTGGCGGTGGCCGAGAGTCGGGGTTGCAGCGGATGGATGATAGCCATGTACCTGCAAGGTGAAAAGAGGAGAAATCAAGGCTGGAAAGCCCCGATGTTGCAGCTTTTGGGGCTGTTTTAGGTCTCCCTTGCATGGGGGTTGTACTTTTGACACCTGCTTCGTGCATCCCCTCACTCCGCACAAATGCGAACAGCATCGAATAATCCCTTTGTGGACGATTCCCCAGCCAACGCTCTAATTCTCTTGCAGCATCTTACCCTCGAGATTTGAATCCCGTTTGAGACACTCATTGACTTTTAGCTGAAAAACAGCTTTGCTAACGCAACCAGTAACCGTCTGCTGCTGCAAAAAACAATTTGTACAAAGCCAGCCGCAATGCTGCCGTCTGGCAGCAGCCGCTTTGGCAGCGCCCGGTAGTTTTGCGCCCGCGCAAAATCGTATCTCTACGGTAGATCACGGTGCCAAGTGTTACAGGAGGAGAACCAAAAATAAGAGTGCTGGACTGGCGTGGGATGGCTGATCTGAGATGTCGCCTCTATCTGCCCAGCTCCTGGGCTCCTTCCCTCGAACATCAGTCATCATAGGTGAGGAAAGCTCCAGTGGTGACGAGGCGGATTGAATTTATCCCCTCTGCAAATCTGGTTTTGCAAAGCTGGCAGCAGCCAGCAGCACTGTAAGGATTAAGTGAGAACATCACAAATTTTTTATTTTATTTCCCCCCTGCTCCACATCAGGCTTCAGGAAGAGGAGAAACATTGCATCACCCTGCATGTGTTATCACCCAAGGCGTTTGCAGCCTCCTCTATTTCTCCCTTCATCCCTTCTCCTTTCAGAGGATGGACAGTTTTTTCTTTTAATATTTTCCTAGATGGCAAATACTCCCTGTGTTGCATTTTTGGGTGGCCACTTGCAGGGGCAAAGACATAGGGATTAATATATAAATATGCAGGAGGTACCGCCGTCAGTTCTTCCTCTGCCCCAGGGTACCAAACCCTATCAGCTTTGTGCAGCTGAAAATCCACCTAATCCACTTGATAACTATTCCTCGAAAATGTTTGGTACTTGAAATTGAAGCTGGTTAGAAAGAGCCAAGGCAATGGGTGTTAGCGCTGCTCTGGCACAGCAGCTGGTGATGCATCAAGGTCTCCTGGTTTCTGCATCCATGTTTCTCATTTCTTCCTTATCGTACTTGCAATCGGCTTCCCCGGACTTTGCAAGGACTCATCTGCTTCCTCTTCCTCATCCTTCAAACGCCTGGTGTTGGCTGAGCCCCTCGTTAGCAGGTTTGCTGAGCCAGATGAGGTTTGGATGGACTTTATCACGGGCGTCAGAGCAGCTTACCCTGGGTTTACGCTCCCAAGCAGCAAGAAGTCCACGTGTCCGAGTTTGCTGCTGATGCTTGACCCGATGGTTCAAGTTCAAGCATGCAAACAGTGGAAAATGAGGGATTTCCACAAAAGTTGGGCAGTTTCTGTTGAAATACTTTCTTGGAGAAACATCTGAGGCTGAGACCTCTGGAAAGCAAAGCCAGTGCTTGATTGCAACAAGCCAGAAATGCTTTTACATCTCCTCCCTTGTTTCTGCCAGTGCATTTCAGAGGACTTCCCTCATCGGTTTAAAGAACTTTGCAGCTGCAGAAGCCCTCGTGGTTGATAAAACATCCAAATAATCACCATAACAATGAACTAAACCCCAGCCGCATCGCCTAGAGACCTTTCCAGCAGCTATTGACTTGTCTGTAATGCTGTCTCGTGGTGGAAATGAGATGGCAAAATTCATCTGACCACGCTGGCGTTGCAAGGATGGGGTCAGAGAGGCAGGAGGGAGCAAGCTAGCGGTGCTCTGGGGAAAACTGGCCCCAAATCCTGTTTTTCGGCAGCAATTCCCAAACCCTTGGTCCTGAGTGACCTCTGAAATATTCCCTCGGGGATGCTCTGGGTCCAGCCACCCATCAAGATTAGAATTGAGAATAATAACGGTTTTCCCAGACAGGGGCTCTGATGGGAAAGAAAAAAATGTAATAAAAAGGGTCTGGGCTGCTTGGAGGAGCTGGTATTACAGACCATAAAAATGCTGGAGATAGATGGAAATGTACAAACATCCTGAAAATAATTAGACCATTATTTCATATTAAAATATCGTATAATTATATAATAATTGTATCACTAAGCAGAAAATTGTCCTAACACTTTAATAACTGCTTCCTTTTTTTTTTCTTTCCCCTTTTTTCTTCTTTTTTTTTCCCCTCTCCTTGAGAAGAACGTTTGACACAAATCAAACCGGGGAGAGGGGGGGAGCAGAGGATATGGTTTTGTGACCGCCTCAGCTTGCATGACAGTCGCCGTCTTGTTTGTATTGGGGTGGAAAAGCATTGGTACAGGGAGCAAACCAGCACCTTCTGCCTGCTTCCAGCGCTGGGTCTGTCGCACTCAAATGACTCCCCTTTCCTTGCAGACTGGTCGGACTTTCTGTGTTTATCCACCCAATAGGTTTGTGTTTATTCCTGTCTTTGAATTTTGGGGTTTTTTGGGTTTTTTTGGCCACCACTTGATCTTTTTCTGCATCCGGAACACCAGTCTCAAAAAGCCACTTTGCTTTCTCACAATTCTGCTCAGTTTTGAGCCAAGGCCTCCCCTGTGGTGTGTTTCTACAGCGGGGTTTTGGTTAACCGAAAAGAAAATCTTCCTTCCGAGCAAGTGAACGCAAAGTAGAAAAGCAACCCCGTGCTGCGGAGCCGTACCGTGGGTACCTCCAGGTTGTCTTCTCCCCTCCACGTCGGTTCAATCTCCCAGGCAAGGCTGCGGTAGGTGTTGCAGCAAACCTCCATCAATCACTTTTTAGCAGAAAAATGACATGTCAATCATGACTTTGCCTTTCAGCAAAAGCTTGCCGATCTATTTATTTTTTTATTAATACGAACAAGTTTGCATTAAAATGGAAACGCAGAGCGCGGGCACGGGACGCGGCTGCAGCGCCCTGGGGTGCCTGCGAGGTGCTGGCGCGGTTTGGCCCCGTGCGTGGTTTTGCAGCGCTGGGCACAAAAGGCATCGATCAGAGCTTAAGTGCCAGGAAGCCACTGCCTGCCTTGGCTTGGCCGCGCAGGTCCCGGCCGCGCCAGTGAGAAGCGGGCTCTTGAAAGCAAGGCTAATGAGTTTATTAGCTCATATTTCTCCTCACAAAGTGCCTCTGTGGCCCCACTCTGCCTATCTCCCTAAGATGCTGTATCCTATTAGAGAGATTTATTTTTTTTTCTTTGCCGTTTAAGAGGGCGGTTTTCTTATCCATAAAAAAATTGGGTGTTGCGGTTTGCTAGGGATGGTCGTTTGCGGGAGGCGAGGAAGAGAAGCTCGTGCCTGCGTGAGCATCCTGCCCTCGCCGCTGCGGCGGGTGACAAACCACCGTGGGGTCTTCACGCCCTACTTTTTCATAGGGAATTGGCTCTCAGTTGAGGATTTAAGGGCAGATTTCCTGTGTTAGGGAAAGGTTTTGCTCCCCGTGCAGGCAAAGCACAGGGGTAGCACTGGGAACGGAGCCATTTGCCTGCAGAAGATGTTGGGTTGGGAAGACTTAATGATACCCATGCCTCAAAATAAAATGATGTGCGGTTGCTCTCCTTTCAGACGGCAGCACCGTGTTCAAGCGCAAACCATCGCTGAGTTTTGCAAGCTCAGGGTTGCCCAGCTCCTTGCAGGACAGACCCAATGCCTGTGCAGCTGCATTTTCCTTGCACTTTTCCCACCACGTTTAATGTTTTAAATCCACCACATTTAATGGGCTTGGCACTAAAGCACACAACTTCACACCAGACGCTATTTGAGGATGTTGGTAATGCTGTTTGCTGTTGTTTAAATATTTTATTGTGTTTGGGGGGGGGCGTTACGATGACGATACAATAGCATTTGAGTACAACGTTGTACCAGGGTAGCTCTGAGTGTATCAGTTATTAAATAGATATTGCATTCGAGGCAGTGTAGCCATCTATTAATTGCGTTTGGAAATCTGGAGTCTGCCTGGATAACTAACATTACACAATTGTTTCCACTCTCATGGAGATGAGATTAATATAATAGCAAAAATTTATGAAGCATCTTTCATTCCAGAGTTTCCTTATCTGCTTCATTAAGTAATAAGTATACGATGGATAAGAGATGAGTAACCAAGAGGATGCAGGGTTTGTGCTGTGTGTTTTATTGCAAAATGATTTCCCATCCTGAGCAAAGGAGGAGGTTTAGTGCTGAGTCAGTCCCAGGGGAGTTTGCAACCAAATCAGGTGCCCCAGACTGAGGTGGGTCAAACGCCTCCAGCACAGCTCCGGGTCCTTCCTGCCCAAGAAACGAAAAGCTTCTCCATAGAGAAAAACCTGCCTTTTCACTTTCTGCGAGGATTGCGTCGCGACAGCGTGGATGCAAAAATACCGTCCCTGGAGCAGGTTTGCATAGCGAGGCTTGGCCTCGTTGCGCTGGCCCCAAATACGTCGTATCTGGATGGCGGCCGAGGAGGCTAGCTGAGCCCCGCGTGCTTGAAACATGACGCTGGGGACGAAGGCGCCGAAGCAGCTGCTTCCTCCTATTTATTGCTTTGGCATAAACCAGCGACCGTCCAAACCAAGGGACGGACAGCGCACTCCTGCCCCGAGACCTGAGTGATGCTCGACGCTCGGCAAAGTGTCTTCATCAAGCAGGAGGCTGCAGGCTTCTCACCGGCATTTCCCCGGAGCGCCGATACAGCACAGCATCTTTCTTTTTTGAAAGCAGTTTGGTATTTCAATCGAAAAGGACGTGTTACCCACCACCACGCAGCCACCTGAGTTACGCCGGCAGCTTTGCAAACTCCCCTGCCTTCCTGCACAGCACCTCTTGCCTTGCAAAGCCCCTGGGCACGCTCGGTTTTAAAAGCCAAATGCAGGTGGGACAGGATCAAACCCCAGTTAGTTGCAGGGCTGGGGTGGGAGAGGAGGACCCAAAGCACAACCAGCCCCACTGAGAGCCTCTGCAGATGCATATATAACCTATATGACCTTACCAACCAATTAGTCCTGGCACTGGTTTATAGCTATAGAGTGAAGGGGGGGAACAAAAAATCACACAAAATACAGGGCTGGTGACCCAGGAGACCTGGCACGCTTAGTGTGTGGGTGGTTCCCACTGGGCCATTAAAGAATTAAGAACAAATTAAGGAATAAATTAAGAAAGCCATCGGATAAACTGAATATCTCACCAGAGGCCCTCAAAATCCTACGGTGGCTTGTGGCAGCGCCCAGCTTGCAGATGAGCACCGTGATCGCCCCAAAAGCGTGGCTAAAACCTGAGTCTCCCGCATCTCCCAGCCAGCAAAGTGTCGCTCAGTCATCTTAGTTCTGTATTTATGGCCACGGGAATTTCAAGCCCCCTCTCCTTTCCAAAGGAAAGCGGGGGAAAAAAGACATAATTTATTTTTTGACAGGCTGAATTCATATCTAGTGATATTAGGGGGGATTAATTCTGGTTAATACCCACCAGATCACAGACTGCTGCTGGGAGCAGGGGCATAAAGCAGCCTTGGTGAGTGACCCCTTGCTAAGGCGTTCCCTTGTCCATCCCCATCCCCCTGTTTTCTAACCCCAGCTGGGAGATCAACGCTTCGAGCCAGCTCCGTGCTGCGTACCCAGCAGCTTCGTAGGGTTTTTGCTGCGTTCAGTGATGCTTGATTTTTTCAGGAATGCAAAAAGCTGCTTCGGTTCTCGCTAGCTGGCGCGTAGGCAATGCCGCAGGGCGGCCGGTGCTGGGGCTGCTGGCCCTAAAGCCGCGCTCCGTTCGCTTCCCCCTTGCTCCTCCACCTTCCAAATTACATCCCAGCAGAGCAAGATTACACCGCGCCGGGCGCAGATCAAAGTCCTGCTCTGCAAACCCCAGCAGTCCATTAAGTCAAGATTAAAAAAAAACCAACCCAAACCCTGGTGCTATATTCGGGTGTAAATGACTAATTAATCTGTCTGTGCGCTGATGTAATTTGTCCTCTCCAGAGGGTTTCTTTCTGCAGTAATCACCTCTCGGGGAAGGCATGGGGTCGCTGAGCTGGCGAATATGTTCCTGATGTTCAGCTGGTTCATCCAACCTGGGAGTTCAAGCTTGCAAGCAGTAAATAATTTCCTGAGCCAGTTTTTCCTGCTGCAAATAATAGGGGGTTGGGGAGATATTAACAGGTCTCGGCTGCAGACTAGCAATTTTAGGAGCCGTGGTGGTGAATGAAGATTCGCAGATTTGATGTTTCTTCTGCAGCTCCTGCTGGCAAATTGATGGCTCTTAAGACACCTAATATAATTTGATAACCTAATATAAATTTGATAATTTTTATTTGGAAATAAAAAAGGGAATATAAAGAAGACCCCAGTTTGATTGCCCAACCCTGCGTGTCGGTCTGGCAGCGTTGGTGCTGGTGGAGGTAGGAGAGGGGGCTTTTTTAATGAGCCAAAGCAGCAGGTTGGTCTAGGAGTCGCAGGAGGTTAGTCCCATTGTATCTCGCTTTTATAGCTTTACAGCGGAGGATTCTTTGCAGAAAAAGGGAAATTGCTTTGTATTAAATAGCCCAAGTGCTGCACAGTCTGTCTTCACCCTGAGTTCATGGCATGGCTCTCGCCCTTCTCATCAGTATTTGTCCAGTCTGCGGTGTTTTTGGCTTAGCTCACTTGAAGTTTTGAGATCAGAGATGATTTTTTTTGTCTGATTCTGCAAGTAATCTGGGATCTTCACCTTCAGCCGCACTCCTGGTTGTCCAGCATCATGGAAACTCATTCCTCCGTCCGAAGTTTGCTCATGGTGCGGGCGAGTGGTGCTGCTCAGAAGTGAATCCAGGTCCCAAGGAGAGAGAGAATACCAGCAGCTGATCTAACGATGCTCCATCCCATGTGCCATAGACATAGCAGCTTAGGGATGTCCAGAGTTTGGGGTTTTTTTTCTCTAAGTGTGGCTGCAAATTAGCTTGGTCTCACCCTGGGCACTGCTGGGCTCTCGCTTTTCCTGGAAGATTGGAAAAAACCCAGGATTTTCTGCCTCTCTCTTTCAAGTGAATTAATTCACAAGGAGCGTTTGAAGCCAGAAGGGGATATGTGATGTGCTCTGGCACTGATATGCCCAAAAAATGAAGGATATGGCAAATTTTATAGCGCCAAAGCGAGCTGTTTGACCCCCGCTTGTGCAGGATGCTGAGAAGCAGCATCATGGCTTTTCCTGAGCATTTACCAGTTCATTGACTCCTGAATTTCCTGCTATTGTTGTGCAGGGTTCAGCATAACACTTGGTATTTTTTCAGAGCGGTTGTGCCCAGGCTGAAACAGGTCCTGGTGAAAGAGCAGATGGTCTAGCTTCAAGCAAAAGCTTTTTTTTTTTCCTTGCACAAACCCATGGCTGGTTCTGCAAAAAAAGCCATTGGGAGAATCAAACCCCCTTCCCCACTTGTTCTGTCAACGTCTCTGTTACGGCTGTGCCGAGTCTTTCCAAGGCGGTTTCATATCCTCCAGCGAGGATGTTCTGGAAATTGCTTGCAGAAAGCACAAGCGGAGATGATTTAGGGGAGCAATCTGCAGACTGACGCTCCTCCGAGCTTTCAGACTCCGTATCCAAGCGCTCTGATAGATGGCTTAATACAGTTTGGGAACACGAGGCACGTTCAATTCTGCTTTCCTAGTTTCTGATGAAAATCAGAACTGCAGTCATGTTTGATTTCAGAGACATCCTGGCTGTGAATATAACCCCTTTTGCTGAGCCTACCTGGCCCTGCTGCTCCGAATTCAGGTACTTGCTTTCCTTGTTCCCACACAGCTTTTTGCTGCTGGCCAGGACACGTTCTTCCCCTTTGGGTTCCTGGAAAAAGTTCCTGCGTTTCATGCATTTAAGTTACTATTGTCAGGTCTCAGGCACAGGAAAACAAGCAGTTTTCCAGCACTTGGGGATGTTGTTGTGTGCTGCTTGCCTGGAGGGGCAGAGGATGGCCTTCCGAATTTCCCACTCGCTGGAAATTTAGGGCCAAGAAACGCAGCAGGAAGCTCTGTGCAGGAGGTGTTTGCACACTGAGCCTGCAGCTTCTCTTGGGTCCTTCTTGGTGGGCGAGCCAAGCCTGCACACACGGGTTGTGCAGCCCAGCCATGGGAAAACCAAGCCTCTGTGAAGGTTTTGCAGATGCAAGAAGAAAGCTGGAAATACCAATTCCCCCCCCAAATTCAGCCCCAGGCTCCCAGACCTGCCTTTGCTCCCCGTTTTACACATGCTCTTCCAGCTTCCCCCAGTAGATTTGCTTTTCTGGTTATTCTGGGGTATGGACCGAAGGCTAAAAACCAAACTATTAAAAAAAAAAAATCTAATTCATCCTAACCTGAAAGGGGCTTTGCTGGCTGATCCCCAGTATCCTTGGAACGCAGATGCTCCTGAACCAGAGCCAGCAACACCATCAGGTAGGAACAGAGCTACGCTGGCAGCATTTCTCTTTTTATTTATTATTGCCTTCATCCTCCTCACATCTCCAGTATGAGAACTTGGCTATGTCCGATTTATTTTGGGGAGAGGGTCTTGTAACCGTTCCAGAGCGAAACAAAACCTGAGCCTGTTTTTGACAACTAGCGAGCATCATCCAGCTCGAGCTCCGTTTCCCAAGCTGTCAGTGCGAGTTGTGGCAGCACTGTAATTTCTCGTAGGTAAATATCCGTGCCAGTTTGTGCAGCACTTAGACATCAGCTCAAAATGTGCTGGCATACGGCAATGCAAATCTCCTCCCCCCCCTTCACATGCATCCTCAGCCAAAGTGTCTTTTACTCCCTGGGAAGAAGGACCAAAAAGAGGTGTTGCAGAGCTGAGCTGTCTTCAGGAAATATGTTTGCGTTGGAAAAAAATCTGTTGCACTTGAAACACCGGTACTCAAGAGGGAATTGCAAAGCTGTTTGAAAGCCTCAACTAGAGACATAGTGCTGGTGTGAAAATGCCCAGCAAATAAAAGATTTCTTGGAGGGGAGAGGAGAGAGGGGAGCTGTGCACTGGAGGTGCTTGGTGCGTGGGTATTTTGTGTCCCTTGACCCCGGCGCATCCCTCTGCGGTGAAAAAGGCAGCGTTCCCTGTGCCATCGCACCCCGCCGAGCGCTTGCTGAACTTTTGATCGCGGCAGAATGCAAGCGGGATCTCGCTCTGCCGGCAGTCCCCAGCCATCCGGCAGCGCCGGCAGAAACAGGCAGTGGAAAAAAAAAAAAAAACAAACCACCACCCAGCTAAGCTGCGCTGGCTGCAGCCAAATGAGAGAAATCCCCGGCACCTGCCTCTCCCCCTTGACCCCCACTAATAAAATCAAGGTGGGTTTGCCTGGGGGGACGTGCCGGCACGCAACGCGACAACGCGCTCGCCAAGTCAAGATGCCTTTCCCGAGCCCGAGCTTCTCTCCGAGGCTCCTTAGACTGTTCCCAACCCAGATCAAGCAACATGAACCAGCTCCTGCAGCGCAGCGGAGGCACGTCTGCCACAGGCATGTATTTTATGTCATGAGGTGACGCCGTATTTGTGCTAAATACCGTGTTTGCTTTTAGATGAGGAGGTTGGGAAAGGAATGGAGAGCTCTGCAGAGGAGCTGGGAAGGGAGAGGACAGCGATGCTATAAATGCACACCCAAGACACGCTACCGACACGCACGGGGGTTGCAATGCCTTTTCTCAAGCTCCTTTTGCAGAGCTGACAAAGGATTCCCAAAGCCACCTGCAACCAGGGTGGGGAGAGGGATTTTTTCTAGCCCTCTTTTACCAAAATGAGCTTTATTTTAATTGCAGTGTTCTCCCGTGTCCGGAGATCAGACAGAACTGAGCACAGCACCCAGGCGGAGGCAGACCTGGGTGCCGGGGAGGGTTGGGGGTTTGCCGCTCGGAGCTCACCTGTCCAGCGCGATGGCCATCATGGAGTAGATGCTGGCGAAGACGGCGGCGATGGGGAAGAAGTTGTGAAACTTGCAGTAGAGCAGCCCGTAGTACCACTCGTTGTGAATGGCGTAGGTGAAGTTCACCACCGTGTTGAAGGCGGACATGGAGGCTTCGGCGAAAGCCAGGTTCACCAAGAAGTAGTTGGTGACGGTGCGCATCCTCTTGTGAGCCAGGATGATCCACATCACCACCACGTTCCCCACCACCGACACCACCACGATGAAGGCGTAGGCGAGGCCCCCCTGCCACGGCGGCTGCACGAACTGGTTCGACAGGGACTCGTTCAGGGAGGCGTTGAGCGGCGACTGGCGCTCCAGCTCCGCTTCCAGCGGCAGAGCGTTATCCATGGCACCGCGATGCAGCCGGAGCAGGCACACGGATGCTTTGGGGCGCAGGTCCCTCCTGGTTTAGGGTGCAGGAGGATCCGTGGGCACGGATGCTTTGGGGCGCGGGTCCCTCCTGGTTTAGGGTGCAGGAGGATCCGGGGGCACGGATGCTTTGGGGCGCGGGTCTCTCCTGGTTTAGGGTGCAGCAGGATCAGGG